GCATTCGTAATAAAATACTATAATTGATTTTACATGATTAAAATGTATTATGAATAGTTTTAATACCATTTACACTCATTTTTGATGTAGATAACAAAATACCTATAGTTAATTAGTTTTTTTCTGTTCATAATTTTCCAACCAAATAATATTATCATGCTTGATACATTGAATACACATCTATCTATTTTTTGTATAGTTACAGTCAGTATTTCAGTTGTTAAATACGGTTTATTGTTTATAATTCATATAGCTTTGAAAACAATTAATTACTACCAAGATGTTAATAGTCGGATTCAAATGGTTTTAATATTATATTTTTTAATCATCTTGAAATTTCTAAAAATGTTATAACATATAAATTGTAATCATTAAAGATGCAAAATAATTAATATTTAAACTTTTAAAGATACAGATTAATTTATATTTATTTTTCATGAGCGCATAATGTGCATTAGAATTAGAACCTATATAATTTTTGACTATGATCCAACCATGTACCAACAAGAAAATTGATATCTGTAGTTGGTAAATTATAATATACTATACATGGAGAACAAATAATAATAAAAAGATAATTGTTAAATACACAATGCAGTGGTGTATTTTTATACGTAATTACAAACCACAGAGAGTGAACTTAAAATCATTAATTATAATAATAGGAAATCACAACAATTTATATTTCCCATCAAAATATAAAAAGAAAAAAAAATGTTGAAAAATTGTAYTTCTATAATTGCTTACATTTTAAATCTCATCACCTACATATTATAGGTATTTACTATATTATACAATAACAATATCAATTACATTGTGGTCTGGTAATCATTTTAAAATTTATTACAAACATTTCAGCACTAACAATTAAAAACCTGAAATGATACACCTGTAAAAAGTGTTAATAATTTGAATCAAATTATATATGCTGAATGTTAATGTACGTGTTGTGTCCATGAAGTATTTTAATAATTTTAATAGATAACTACATTTTTTAAGCGCTTAGATTATGGTCAATTAAGCAACATTGTTAATGTATTTTTCAATATTTATAAGACTACTTAATATTTACAAAAATAACTTCTAAAGTGCCACTTGTGATCACTTTGGAACTCAACAGTGGAGTCATATACAACTTTTGTAACACTTAACCACTTTAGCTGACCCGAAAAGTATTTTACAGGTAAAAAAGTGCATTATTCTAAAACCAACATATAAGTTGAGAAAAATTATTTAATGGTAAATAAGCATAACAGYGTGACTTAGTAACTTACTCGTTTAGTTTAAAATGTTGACTGATTGAGTATTATTTATTTTATAGAACTTAACTATCAGGAAATACAATATAGGTACTCGTAGATAAGAAAAATATAGTTATAATAGGTAATACTAATCATTGTTTAAAGGTCACAAATTGTTGTTCATTCAAWCATATGTTTAAGAAATAAATACAATAATACAGTTTTATTAAAGTTAGAATKAATTAATATAATAGATGCCTAGTACCTTCACTACCTTAATTATTTTTGTTTGAATAAAAGTAAAACAATTATTTGGTTACGCTATTATTTATACATTTTTTATAACATAACAGTAGTCTTTACCAATTGTAAAAATAACAATTTTGCTAAACATTCCAAAAATTAATTTTTATCGGCAAAATATTCCATTTCGAAAAAGCTATGGCAACTTGTCTTTTAATTGTAATTTGAATAATATTTTACTTCTTGACGTCAACTCAGTTCTCGATTAACTCAGACTCTGACGCTCACCTCTTATTCATCTTTCATTTCTTCRTATTATTTTAATTGAAAATTATGAGCTCTCTACGCGTAATAATATATCTTCCTTCAATGTTCCTCATTAGCCTGTTTACTTCCATAGTTAGTTATAGTTTAGAATATTTTAAGATTATCTGGAACTTAAATTAGGTAATTGCTTCCGCTCAGTATAAATTTCGTTGTTTTATTAGTTTTAAAATTAAAATTGAAAGACCTAAGAATTCCATGAGGTAATACCAATATACCAAAATGTTTAACTTTTTAAATAAAAAATTATCAATTAGATCAAAAAAATAATTAATTAGTAACTTTTTTTGAAAAAAAACAAAATTAATTAATACAATAGATAGCCATCACCCATTAAGGTCTTATCAAGTTTAAGGTTGCTAATTTTCATAGTGTTATGGATTTTTGTTTATTTTAGACTCTTTGACTCTTTAAACAACCCATTGATATATGCTCCCCCCTCCCCCAAAAAAAAAAAACTATATTATTTAGTGKTGATTCCGTAATTRATTATTTTGGTTTCCTTCTYCAATACTTTTTATTATAYCTACATTACTATTATTCTGTTCATTTTTAGTTTTTAAGTTATTATATAATTTCTTATTAATATACACWGTTAATTTGTATTTTGTAATTGGACTTACATCCGTAATCAAATATATAAATCTGTTTATAAAATTTCAATCCTTTATTTAATTTTGATTTGCAATTTCTTTGCAACAATTTGCAACTAACTTAGTTAAAATTTATAATTTGATGGCTCCTGAATGAAACAACTATTGCTAAAAGGAGTAATCTTAGTAAGCCTCCCGAAATTGTTTCTTAAATTTCTTGAGATTATATATTGTACTACTAAAAGAGTATACTGTGGTRACACATTTTTCTGCTTTTCCAACAAGAATACTCCTCTTTTGTTTAATGTAAACTATTTATTAGCGGATAATTCTTTTGAAAATGTTGGTAAAGGATGAACCTAATTTAAAATTCAAATAATTAGTTTCTTAGTTATTAAAATATTTATACAAGATACTAACGATGACAGTACTTTTWAAAAAATGTCTAAAAAATATGAAATATATATTGTACTTTTGGATCTAGTATTTGTTATACTTGGACCAATTTTACAAATTACAAAATATGTTGATAGATCACTATAAGTTATTATAATTCTCTATCATAAAAATACCAATAAACACCAGTAGCCCGTATATTTTTCAYACTTATTATGATACAAATATTTTGTTTTAGTACATAAAGCTGAACTATTCAAAATTTTGATTTTGATACGTCAACATTTAAAAAAATAATGATTTAATAAACAACTTAAAGTAGAAAATTGGGATTCTCRTTTTATAAACAGAAGTTAGTTTCTCATAAGACACTCCTTAAGTATTATAAACAATCTTAAGAAATTATAAATACAGTTTATAAATATAATTAAAAATTCCGAAAACTAGTGGATGAGCATGCTATGYAGATCTTTCATTTTATGATATACCTAAACAATACATGTCTTAAATATATATGCAAATTAATTTTTGTGTYATCAATATTTTATGTTGCAGCAATTAGTAGTTATCCGGTCATTTATTTTYAGTGGATAATATATTGGCTGTGAACACTCATTTGTAAGTATATATATTTTTTAGCTTAGTAAAAAAAACTTATATTTATTTTAAAAATATTTAAATACATAATAAATCGTACCAAATATTACGTTGTTTGTTACAACAATCGTATCATGATATGTAAATAATTGTTATTTGATTTCACATGGGTGGTATTGATAGCCGTATAAGAAATATAATATATTGAAAAATTATAAATTTTTTTATTGACTGATTTAATAGAATTTGCAATGTTTGTATAAAATTATAATCATACGTAAATTCTATGTCCGATATTTGTATAATGTATATATGTTACTTATATTATTATATGACAGTGTTTGAACTTTTTATTAAAATAAATGATCAGATAAAATATAATTTAAATTCAATTTTTATAATTAAACAAGTTGTAARCTCWATAACCTTTTCTAAACCAGAATTCAAAATAATTGCACAACTTGATTATAATAAAGTAAACGTGATAAAACTAAAAACAATCGAAASGTAAAAAGTTACCTAGTGTGATAGCCGATTGCGATGAGTAAACGTAATTAAACATTGAAGATGAATGAGAAAAATAATGGATGGTATCGAACACTTGAATAAAATACATGAAGTTCCTCAAAAATCTGAACAAATATTGTTTTAAAGATAACACAATTTAATTCAATTAMATTTGGATGTGTACCAAGGTTATTGTTATTGTTGTAAAGAATGATTAGAGCTATTTTTAAAGCTATATAACAGAGCATGTCTTCACAAAAAATAACTAATATGGTTGAAGTTTTGTATTTTTTCATGAATTTAGATATTCAAAACCGATGAAGTATAAAATACTTTATTTTTACGTATACAACCCTATACACGAAACATATACCTACATACATTTTTTATCTGTATTACAGACCTTCTTACAAAAATAAAATTGTAACCAATATGTAGGTGATGATAATTAACTCAGGAAAAAACGGATCATAATGTTACTCGTGAAAGGGCAATGGGCGATAAAGAATATGACATATGGCCACAATWAAACTACATGACTGCAGAGAATTCAGAATTATATAGGTACCTACAGTATTCTAGTATTTATATGTAGGTGCGTTTAGCTGTGCGGKTTTTGTGTGTTATTACCATTCGTTTGTAGAATTTTGATGTTTTTCTAGACTCTATACTCAAATGTTGCGGAAAAGCGCTTTTATTTATATGCTCATACTTATTAAAATTACGAGACTTCCTGAAGTATTATTAAATAAAAACTTGTGTTTATTTTCCTCGCATTTTAGGGTCACAAGTTTTTCATTGAACAAAATATTTAAAATATAATATGTCATAAACATTAAACAATGCATGATTTCCATCGCATAACAAACATGCCATTCATATTTACTGAGTTTTCGAGATAATATTGCACTTAGTGTCTCTGTCTTGAATATGAAATAATTTTTAAGAATTTATGCAATATAATACGTGAAAATAATGATAACATTTCATTTTTAATTTAAGTTTGATAAAAATCTTTTGTTAATGCTTCTTTAAATCTATCATTTATAATGTGTAATGGTAGGAATTATTTAAGATTAAATACATTCAAATATTCCAATACTTATAAAGTTATAACATTATGTACATTTTAAAAACAGTAATCAAAAGACCACACCAGTGTAATTTTCTTTTTTACCTTACACACGTGTTTTGTAGTGAAAATCTCTTTTCACTCATTATAATTATATTGTTGAAATTAAAATAATATCACCTATCATAACAATAATTTAAGAATATAGTAATATTTTAAATTAAATGGTAAACTATATTTTCAACAACATTGGTTTTAAATACAATTTCCACAATTCAAAACAATATGGGAATAAAAGCTTTGAACTTTGAAGTAGGATTTATACATTTTCATGGACCAACAACAAATATTAGTATTCATCGGTCGTCTTTCTAAAACAGATATTTTATTTTCATTTAATATCTTAAGTACGGTAATTAAAAAGTATAGCCTAAGTAGACAGTATAAAAGTTAGTCATAACGCATTTAACATTTTAGATAAATAAATTAAAAAAGTTTATTCTATCGTAACTCAAACGTTCACTTTATTTTCTTATTAATTACTTATCGTTAGCGAGTAACCAAATAGTATTAAAAAAATGTTAATAATTGTTTAATGAATTAAAAATTATTTAATGAAAAAAATGAATAGTATAAATAATACTTTAAACACTAATACTGAGARCAATTGATAAACTACAATAATAGATAGCAACATATCTATAGGAATATKTTGACGATCCTCTTATGCAATGTTACGTGTTACTTATATTATGTACTAACATATTCATATTTTGATGAAAATTAATAAATTGAAAACATATTGTATTATAGTGGTTATATGTATTTTAAGTGGTGTCGAATAATAAAACTGTCCATCGTGGTGAAATCGTCTAAACAATAAACGCACTGAGTCCTGAATTCCTGAAATGCACAAACAGGTAAACAATACGATTTTAACTGGATCTGCATATGTACACATCATAATAATATATTTTGACTGAAACGACACATAATTTATAAGCAATGCATTTGAATCGTGTAAATTTATATTGTGCCATAAGTACACGCCCAAASAGTAAATAACATAACCTGTACCGTCGCTTTCAAGTGACCGAGACGTTATTATTATTTTATAATATTGTGTATTGTTGAATGCTAATTCCCAAACGTCACATTGTACATTTATCATTTCTGTGTGCGACAGTGGAACGTCGTTACTCTTTAATATTATATCATATATTGACATACCGCTCGTACAAAGCATGATCAATGAAATAACTTACTATGAGAACCATATGACAAGGAATATTTAGTATTCACACATTCATATTATAGAACATAATCACTCGGAGACAAATAAAAAATATTATCTCTCAAAAATGAATTATTTATTTTTATAAGTATACGCAATGTGCCAAAACATTSYACAAATACAATTTAATTTCATTCATATTATTCAAAATAATATATTACTATATTTTCACTTGTTAATTACTACATATATCTGTTGTTGTGTCTTTCGAACAATACATTTTTCAACTGAAATAAATTATGTTTTTTTTTTAAATATTTTATTCAATCCTATTATTGATGTATATAAAATGTCATAAAGTAAAGCCCTAAAATATATTATTTACTATACCTGAATACATATGGACAAAATAAACAATTTTTCTTCAATATATAACTATCCTTTAGTATATTAGAAGAATATATAATTTATTTATATTTTATGTATATACAATATTTATTATTTATACATTTTATAAGTGAATGGGTACGTTGGAAGCATCGGCATGAACTCAGTATTTAATATTCTATTGTTTTTATGAATGTCATTCTAAAAAAATGAATGAATTATAATTGTTGAAATTTGATAGTCTTGAAATTAAAACTTAAAATGCCATAAAAAAAACAATGAGTGTTCAATTTTTTTTTTTTTTTGTTTAAGGGGATTCGATCCCGTGATTTTCTGTCATTGTCTAGCACATGCGCGTCATAGGATTTTAGACGTATTTTTTGCCAAACGTACCGATGGCTATAGTAAAGCGATTAGAATTATAAAAACAGATTTGAATTTGTCATCAAATCTACTTGAAATCGACTTTCCCGCATTTTTGATTTTTTGATKTTAACTTCAACAAAAATTTAAAAATGACAATTTTTAATATAACATAACATTAATTGGAATTTGGAAGAAAATATCGAAAATGTTGAAAAGTCGATCTCAAGTAGTCTTGACGACAAATTCAAATCTGTTTTTATAATTCTTGTTGYTTCACTATTTCCATCGGTACGTTTGGCAGAAAATYCTATTACGCGTGCGTGTTAGACAAAGACAGAAAATCACGGTATCGAATCCCCTTAAGAAATACCTTCGGTTTGAATTATTTAAAAAAATAATTTTATGTATGCGTTGTATTTAGTCTAATCTGTAGAAATTCCAAGTCTCGATTTTTAAGTTTTTAAAGACAAAGGCTGCCCCGATTATACAAATCTTAAAAATTTTAAACCTCCAATTAGGCGAGAGCCTCCCATACGTACTGCTTTTCATAAATACAATTCTACTATAGAGCCGCTTCTGGTACCAATCAACYGTCTTATACCCATATGGCTTCCTCAGGTCAAAATTTTTCTCAACCTTCTTCAAGGATCAAAACTTTGTTAACCTCATTTATCTTCGAATTCTCGAATATCATAAAACTCCTCTTTTCCCTTCTTACTTCACTATTAAGTAAGTCACAATTATAAGCAATACCAAATRTATCCACTCGCGTAATTACATAATACCTATTAATATTAATAATCTTTTATGCTRTATACAAGGKAACAAGGGGAGCAAGAGGGTACAAGGGCGTGCAATTGCACCCCTCTGGATTTAAAAAAAAAATGTTATGGTRTTGAAAAGATTTTTTTGCATAATTATCTATTAAAAACTTTGTATCCGACGAAAAAACAAAAATAACTTTGTWTCGTCATATAATTTGAAAAAATATTTCTACGTATTTAACTAAAATAATTTAAACATTATTTAGAAATCAAAGTACCTATACTATGCAGTCCAGTGGTTCTCAACCTTTTTTGGTTCACGGCACACTATTATACATCACAAGTTTTCACGGCACACTCACGCACTTGACATCCAYAACAACATCGGAAAGTTAGGCTTTTCGACACTAACAAACATAAAAAACAAAAAAACGGGAGAGGCTTCTTTCCRWTGATCAGGGAATGCGTGTCTGCTTGTCTTCAATTCGACCACATATTGAACTTTTGTGTACGAAACGACAAGCTCAARTTTCTCACTAATAATTAAAAATCTATTAACTTTATGATATAATATTCCTTTGTTTACTTTAAATAATTTAGTTCTTAAAATATTATTTTGTTGCTGTATTAAAAAAAAAAATGTCATATTTAATAACATTTCTCGTGGCACACCTAGACAATCTCGCGGCAC